AGTCGGTTCATGCAGCGACCGACAACGGAGCACCAGCAGGCTGTGAAGAGGATCATCCGCTACGTTACGGGAACTCTCGACCACGGCCTCTACTACCCTAGGTGCCACAGGCGGCACACTTCATCGGCACAATGACGGCGACCACGCGCGGCGACATCGACACCGGCAAGAGCACGAAGCGGGATCCTCTTCTTCCTCGGCAAGTGCCTCGTTAATTGGCAATCGGTCAAGCAAAGCAGTGGTGGCTCTGGCCCATTGCGAGAGAGGTGAGTACATAGCGGCCTCCACCGCTTCGACTCAGGCGCTCTGGCTCGCTCGACTGCTTGGTGATCTCCTCGGCAGAGACACTAGAGCGGTGGAGCTCAGGGTGGACAGCAAGTCTGCTCTGGCCCTGGCAAAGAACCCCGTCTTCCATGAACGCAGCAAGCATATCCGGGTGAGGTACCACTTCATCCGAGGCTGTTTGGAGGAAGGGAGCATCAGGGCGAGCTACATCAACACCAAGGACCAGCTTGCGGACCTGCTCACCAAGCCCCTTGGGAAGATCAAGTTCCTTGAGCTCTGCTCGAGGACCGGGATGGTTCAACTCTCCCACAAGACGACGCACAAGATTTAGGGGGAGAATGATGGATAAGTCTTTGTGGGGCTGGTCTTTGTGGGGCTGCTGCATGGTGGTTATCAAGGACAGCATCCTTGACTGAAGGACAGCATCTAGGACAGCATATAGGACTAGCATCTTAGACTCTAGGACAGCATCTTAGAGGACAACATATTAGCATCTTAGACTAGCATCTTGTCATATGCTTGGCTGGCTAGCAGCCTATAAATATGTATTCCCAACCCCTCAGATTGGCATGGCATTTGTGTGAGAAATAGACAAGAAAATTGCCCCAACTCCTAATATCATCCTCTCTCGATGAGAGTAAGAATTCTCCTACTACCAAGAGTGAGAATTCAGCGACTAACAGTTGATACCTTGCGGTACACTGTTGTCTGCTTTCTGTGCTATCTTTTTGATTATGTGCAGTACACCATTGTTTGCTGACAATTTCATTTACTAGACCTAAAGACCAGTTGATACCTTGCAAATTTGTTTGGACCTGTATTTTCACTAATTATCGACAGGCACATCATGTTCTGGAATGGAAGGATTCTCTTGTCTATGTATTACAAATATCTTAAACTCTCTGAATTATGGCGTATTTAGCCATGAGAGAACAACTCATGCCGCTGTACAAAATAGCAAATCAAGCAATCTTTTAGGTTTTATGATACCACGATAAAAAAAGAGCTTATTTCTTTGTAGTTTGTAACAATGCTTCTCACACAATTCAATTACTGTACTCTACATTGCAGGTTAGTGGCAGCAAACAGCAAACCATGTCAAGATCTTGCAAGGCTGAAGCATCTATTGGCCTAGGAGTACAAAGTGAAACACTAGCTGATACAATCATGGATAGACAATATGTTTCAGTTTACTACCAATGATGAATCGATTACAAACTTTACTTGTGCCCTTCTATCTGAGCTTAAGATAATTACTATTTCAGTAATGTGTTAAGTTGCTAGGATGATATACTAATTCACATCTCCATTTGTTTGATTTGCATTTCTGATCCTATTATTCACTCAAACATTCGGAACTAGTCTGATACTGTACTTCTGAACAACATTTTACAAGTGGATAATCGTCGACTGGTTTGCTTGTGCACATCAAAATACAAGTGTAAACACTTTGCAGGAGTATATATATTTCCGTAATGCCCAAACAGGGCCTAGGCACACAAACATTTTATTAAGTGTGTTGTACAACATTTCTGTTTATTAATCACTGGTGAGAGTGGAGAGGTGCAGGGATCCTCACCTCGGTTTCTCGGTAGCCAGGCGCATCCCGGTCCACGGGAACTTGGCCCCCTCGTCCCCAGCTTCCTCCTTCACCTTGCCCCCACCCCTCCTCTTCCTCCCCAGCCTCCCAGGGTTCCCGTACACGGTCTTCCCGCAGCCGGCCCTGGAGAAGCCCTCCCTCTCGTCCTCCATCCAGTGCTTCCCCTTGCCCTCCCCCTCCACCTCGGCGCCCTCCACCGCCTTCCTCCTCGCGGCGGCGGCGCTGGCCTTGCGCTCCCGCTCCGCGAGGATGGCCCCGATGGGGAACAGGTCGCGCGAGACCGCGAGCGGGGCGCGTAGCGTGACGTAGGCCTTCTTGTAGTCGGGCTTGGCGGCGAGGAAGGGGCCCCGGCGGAGCTTCTTTCCCTCCATGTTGAGCGTGCGGACCTCGGCGACGGAGAAGCCGTACATGGACTCGAGGCAGCGCCGGATGTCCACCTTGGAGGCGGACGGGACGGTCCGCACGGCGAACTCCTGCACGGAGGAGAGCGGCGCGGGGGGCAGCATGAGCTTCAGCGGGAGGTTGGCGAAGTGGATCACACGGCGCCCGAGGCGGCTCCCCATGGCTGCCTCCGCCGGGCGGTGGAGGGTTTAGACGCGGCGGCGGTGGATCAGGAGTTCCCGACTGCTGTTCTGCTTCGAATTAGTGGGAGAACTGCGAGCTGCTGCCGCTGCTTGGACCGTTTCCGTTGGTCCTGGGCCTGGGCTTGTGCGGCCTGGTGGGCCGAATAGATCCGCGAAGATTTCGGCTCGAGGCTGGAGTCCGCCAATTCGAGTCCGAATAGGGCGAGCGCACACGGTCACGTCTCTCTCCCTATATATGCGCACCGTGCACGGTGCTCCCCTTTCTGAAAATCTGTTTTGCTTGGAACCACGTAGCTGATCTGTTGGCCAATAATCCGAGCTGCAAGGGCCAAGGAGATCGAACCATGGCACTAGCAGCGGCGCCACCGTTCGTCTGCACCGGAAGATGACGCCCGAGGAGAGGACGGCGGCGCAGAGGTTCCTCAGCGCGGTGTACGAGGACGCGCTGCGGTACATCGCCTTGACGGAGGAGGATGTCGAGGAGGAGTACCGCCTGGCCGGGAAGCTGCACAAGTATGACCCGGACACGGAATGGATGAGAAGCGCTACGCTAGGGTTGCGAGGATGTACCCACCGCCCAGCTTCATGGCCGGCCCCAAATCTCGACGAGTACATGTGTACCCGGAGGAAGACGAACAGGACTATGCTATTGGGCAAGCCGGTTGTGTTGGTATGTTGGAGGAAGATGATATATATAGTGGGAATGTGGGATTGATTCGCATGCATGCATGCTCCAAAATCAAATAAAATTAGATTGAGCGTCGGTGCCGGACAAAGACGGTAGACATAGTAAATTAGATGAGGAAAATAATAGAAAAGGGATAAGAACATAAATTTAAATGTCAGAGTATAGTGGATCAGTCACTGTTTTATGGATGACCCACTGTTTCGGCGTATTCACTTCTCTGTAAAACGGTTCTGGCTGTAGTAGTTTGGAGGCTGCAGCTGTAAAAGTGTCCAAGGCGCTATCCCAAAATTAGCTTAAGCTTGGGCATGGAGTTCATTTATAAGTAGCAAGCAACATTGCTCTTTGAAGATTCTTTTGTACTTCATTATCTTACAATTGCATATAGTATGAACGAGTAGTGTGCCATTGTCATTTCCGGTTACATTAGGTTTTTTAACGAGAAGGTAGGAGCTATGCTGCTCAATTTAGACGAGAGATTTAGTACAGAGACAAAATAAACCCGGTTAGACAATATAAGGATCTTGTAAAAGTCCTTGAAATGTTAAAGAATAACATCAACAAAAATCTTTTTTTCTAAAACCATTGTCTGAATCGGCTATACAAGATCAACAATAGAGATGCTATAGAAACAAATCGTAAAACATCGGCAATCCCTTTCATGGCATTTGCAAGAATCAAAACATAACGTGGAGAGTCATCCCAACCAGCAATGGCATAGGTGACCCTTAAGTCAAAATCTAATGACATTCTAGGTTGTGTGCTTCCTCCCTGGGGAGGCATCTTTCACTACAAGAATTTTGGCTTTACGTGACGTTTTGATTTAGTCACGGACAAGCGAAAACGCGTCACGGTTAACTATTGATGACGGTCCAGTGAAACGTCACCTATTCCGCGTCATACATTTTTTTGGACCGAAATAGAACGTCACAGGTTGGTTTTTTGGATCGTCATGGATAAACCGGAGGGCAACTATAGGAAGAGGCTATGGTGATGAACTGAACCGTCATGGTTTTGCTGCCACTTCAGCTGCTGCCATGTCATTCGGTGATGTTGGATCTGACGAGGCTGCCACCTTGCCACATCATCAGTAGGCTTTTTATGGCCTATTTTCTTCAATTAGGCCCATGTTTTGTGTATTTTTTTAGATTTAGTTGGGCCCATATTTTAGTACACACTATTGGGCTAGCCCAATTACATAGTAGAATTGGCCCATTGTGGCCCATAACATATCAGCAAAAATTCAAATTTAAATTACACCAAATTCAAATTTAAATGGACATCAATTTCACATTTAAATTGACGACACATTCAAATTTAAATTCACATGATTCACATCGCCATAGATGACCACAGATCATCACAGATAAACATAAATATGCCAAGGTCCCATCATCACACATACATCTAAATATAGTTACATATGTAGTTTGGCACAACAAAGCATGCATCAGGTCAAAGACCATGCTATAGTTCACAGAACAGCTGCAGTTCACACATACATCTAAATATAGTTCACAGAACATACATCCATCACCAAAAGACGTGCATGCACAGGTCAAAGACCATGCTACAGTCGTTCACAGGCACATAAGTTCACAGCCATGCATCAATTCAACCAAAAGACGCAGCCACTTGTTCACAGCGCAGCATCCATCACCAAAATAAGCAACCAACAGCAAAGTGCACCAGCCGATAACCCAAGACAACCTTACTGTGTTGCTTGGCATCCTGGAACCATGGACATCAAAGTCTTGATCAGTGCATCAATGTCAGCTTGCCTTTTCTTCGACTCCTCTTCTTGCTTAGCCCTAGCTGCTTCTGCCTCCTGGAATTTCTTCATCATTTATTCCATTTGTTGTTGTTGAGCCTTGACAACCTCCCTAAGATCACTTGATGTTTGTTTCTCCACCACCAGTTCCTCTTCTAGGTCATGCTCAGCACTAACACGTGTGGCATTGCTTTGGAGCCCCACATTTACAAGAAACCTGTTCTTCTTAGTTTTCTGAACAAGAGGCTGAGAGACCACATCAGTCACATCCTTTGGTTGAAGACCATCATCTACAGGTTCATTCAGCTTCTCCTCTATTTCAGCCTAGCAGCATAAGAGACATAGATAGGTCAATGATCATGATATATGAACCTAATGTATCATCAGATTATGAACTAAGTATGATTTTACTTACAATAAGAGATTGAACTGCAGGAGCAAATCCTTTCTTTTTGTTGTAGTGCATCTCTTTCAATAGTTCCAGTGCATTTGGTGGTTCGTTTTTGTACTTGTCCGCCTGAAAAAAAAATAGAAAAGGACACTCTAAAAAATTGTTGCTGATTCTATGTATTACTAACACAGATAAAAGGCATTAAACAAACTAAGTTAGAACATTTTCTAGACTTTCTAGTGTTAGTGGCATAACTAATTTTGCAGCCCCAAGTTTAGTATGCAGTGATATAATTTTGAAAACCAAGCAACCAGCAGCAGATTTTTGTTAATTATTACTAATCTTTGTGCCATAGCTACATACAAAGCTCTTTTAAATATGCAGAGAAGAAAAGACCTCACAAACAGCATGTTCTAGTGAAAAGACCTCACAACCAACCGCAGATTTTTGTCAACTATTACTAAGCTTTGTGCCATAGCTACATACAAAGCTTTAAATATGCAGAGAAGAAAAGACCTCACAAATAGCATGTTCATATATAGTATCTTGCAATTGAAGCCCCAGCAACATGTTCTAGTTGAAAGTGACAATGAGTTGTACTCACCAAATCTACAATTTGCATTTCATAGCTGCGAGAACCAGTGGTCTGATGGAACTGCACTTTGCTTCTGTTCTCTCTGTTCTTCTCACAAGTCACCTACAGCAATACAGTTCTGTTGCTAAGCACACATGACATCAAACATGATGAAATTGGAAAAGTTGGATGATCTTACCATTTTTTGCTCATTTTTCCAGTGTTCCACAAGTTTATCCCATTGCTCATTAGTCATTGTGTCCACAGGAGATGTTTTGGGCACCAGATGTAGTGGCAAAGCATCAAAATACCTCTTTTTCAGCTTGTAGCGCTGCTGGCGAACAGCTTTCTTCAACATAGCCACACATGCTTTTTTCGTAGGTAATGAATCTGCATCCATATGAAACTTTGACTGGTGACAGTAAACAACATTGCCAATTGTTATTGAATGCACAATCTTAATGTTGCAAATAAACAGTGGAAAGGGGCAAGTTTGAACACTTACAACAACTCTCGATATGTACGCGTCGATCATCTTAGGATACTTCTTGTATTCCTTCCAATGTGGAAATATTGGAACAATTTGTCTTACTGCAATGTTGCACTCAGTTGCAAATTTTGCAGCGATCATCACTGAGTTTGGTCTTCTCTTCCCTGACTCAATAACCAAAGGAAGTCTCTTCTTCCTCGAGCGAGTCATCTGAACAAGTTCCCTCCCAATACTAGGTCCCCTCGTCCTGTTCTCCTCATCAAATAGGTCATCTACGAAGGAGTTGTGTTAGTATACTGCTGTCCTATGTTGGGTATGGAATTACAATGTGCAAGACTTAGAAATACACACCTTCAGCGATGTAAATAGGTCCTGCTGTTGTGATCGACAGGTCCAAGGTTCAATTCCTAGAAGCGGCATTTTTTTCACATTTACCTTCCTCCCACATTCCCTATTTACATCTCTCACCGACAGGTAGGTCCCACTAGCCCCCTGCCACTCAGCATGACATGTAGGAACGATGTGGACGCTCACATCACAATGACACATTGGATGTTGTATCTGTGACCTTCCAATAAGTCCGTCATGGATGACTAAAATGATCCGTGACGTCCAATTGTGACGATAATTTAACCAATCGTCATACATCCATCACCTTGGATTTGGACCATCACAGATGACTACATTCTGTGATGATTTGTTAGAAGGTCACAATTAAACCGTCACGTAAAGCCAAATTTCTTGTAGTGTTTGTGGCAAACAAGTACGCTAGTTAGTGTAACTTTTTTTCTTCTCCTCCAACATATTATCAATACCTTTAAAGTGGATAGGAGATTGGGGTGAATCTCCCACATTTGAGGGAGATGAAACTTTTAGATATATTGGCAATATGACAAGCAACCACAATAATTTATACATATTTTTAGTATTGGAAATGAGCTTAAGTTATCTGTTGTGAAGTCGCTGTGATAATTTCAAGTTTTGGAATAAAAGAATAAAAAACCATGTGTCGATGTTTCACCACCGATAGCCTGTCACGGGGGTACCCAGGGCAGTCTGTTCGGGCTTCAGCGTATGCAGAACTCGACGGTAAATGCAAGAGACAGTCGATTTATCCTGGTTCGGACCCTCGATCGTGATCGAGTAATAGCCCTACGTCCAGTCGGCGTTAGCCTTTACGTTGGATTGATGGTCCAGTGTTCTCTCTGGAGTCCTTTGCCTAGGAACCCCGCCCTTCTTTATATAGTCAGGAGGCCAGAGTCCTAGTCGGTTTACAATGAGAATTTCTAGTAGGATTACAGAATAATACTACTACTAAGATTGCACAGAAAGAATCCTAGTTAGACTAGATCTTCCCTCTTCCATGCAGGGTATCTCGTGGGTCCCGCATCGACAAGCCCCCGAGCACTTCATGGTTGAGTTCTGGAAGCCTCGTCTTGTTCCTTCAGGTCTTGCCGTGTAGGAACAAGCGTCGTCCGAGTGCTTTCTTGAGCGAAACCGTGTAGCGCTTCGTGAGATCTTCGAGTGGTGTGTACTTTTTTTGAAAAAAGTGCTTCCATCTGGGTGTAGCCCTCCGAGCCTCTTGCTATTTGGAACAATGAGCTGGAGGGTCTTGTCTTGAATTTGCTATGATTCTTCGTTGAAGGGCTTCCGAGCACATTCCTGGGTTCTTTATCAAAAAGAACTCAGATGTAGCTCGGTCCGGGTTCTTTTTGTCGTGGGGCCTTGAAGTGGTCTGTCTTGAAGAAGTCTTCTTGGTGACGTGCGCTTTTTTGAAGGAAAAAGTGCACTCACTGAGTGTAGCCCCCGAGCATCTTGCTTTTTAGAACAAAAAGTTGGAGGGTCTTGAATGTTATGTTGTTTGAGAATTCCTGTCTCGAAGATGTCTTAAAAAAAGCGCACTCATTGAGTGTAGTCCCCGAGCCTCTTGCTATTTGGAACAAAGAGCTGGAGGGTCTTGAATCTAAGTTATTCAAAGAACTAAAAAACTCTTCTGTAGTAGCCCCCGAGCATTATTCAAAAAGAACTCGGATATATGATCTTGGCATATTCTATGGTAGTCTGCTATTGTCAGATATAGTTGTATGGTGGTGGTTGAGTGTAAATGTCGTTTGTTCATGAGTTATACAGTGTTGGTATATTCTTCCGAATATGCTCGTTCTTGAGTATTGTTCCTTCACGCCTGAGTCCTCTTTCATTGAATTGTGTCTTTTCACTGTGTCCTTTGTTAGGTTTGTTCCATTGGTGCTCCCGGTCCATGTGCACCGCTTCTTTGCCCTATAAATATTCTCCTTGTGTGCTGTTTTGATTCATCGAGTATTTTGTTGCGTGGTCTGAAATCTACGTAGTCATGAATAAGATAGTTTGTGAAGTAGAGCAGCCCCCGGGCGTATTTTGTAGTTTTTGTAGATCTTGTCGTAGCTGGAGGAAGTTTTGTGATAAGGATTAGAGTTAGACTAATCCCGCAGTGATATTGTACCGGGAAGTACGTGGCGATAGTTGGAGGAAGTCTTGTGATGTGGGATACGTTCCTTCATCCAGCAGTTCTGGGTTGATCCTCGTCGCCTGCCCTGAGACTGTCCGGTGCAGATCAACACCATATCTAGCATCACATCGGACATGGGTAGACAGATGCATGTAGGCTTCTCCTGGTCCATGTTGTCCCGCCATGCTGCAGATTTCCACCTTGGATGTGCTACGTTCTTCCTTTGAAGAAAACAGTGTAGCCGAGTGCGGTTTGTTCTACCGAGTAGCAATTTAGAACACGTAGTTGTTCTAGAGCCTAGTTGTGTCCGGGTTCCTTTTTGCTACCTTGCTTGTCGTAGTACCGAGTTTGTTGGGTCTTGTAAGATGTGTAATTTTGTATTTTTTGAAGCCATTTGTAATGAAAGAATCTTGTCTTCTGAGTTGTCATTCTTTTTTCTGCTGATGTCCTGATTATTTATGAGATTCCCGAGTTCTTTCTATAAGAACTAGGTTCTTGTGTTTCTTGTAAGGTAACCCTTCGTTGCTTCATGGTTGATGAGTTCTTTTTGTAGCAATACGATAAGTCTGTCGTGGTGCTGGATGGATAAGTCTGAAATATGCCCGTTGAACTGTACCGTTGTGTAGAAGCGTGTCATCCGTCATTTCAGCTGTGCCAGTCGTGGTGAGAAATGAATCGTTGCGTTCTCATGCCGTGTTTAAACGGGCCTGGTGGGCCGTATTTTTATTGCTGTAAAATCTATTTAAAGGCCCTTCTTTTTCTTTTTCTTTTCTGCCCTGCTTTTGCCTTGAAAACCCTAGTCTTCAAAACTCCACCGCCGCCATTGTCGCCGTCCTCTGAGCGTCGCCGTCTGAGCCTGACTGTTTCTTAGTGCTTTATTGCTTTCGCTAGTATATGGGTAGGAAGAAATCAGCGAGCAAGTCCCAGATAACCTTTGTAGACGAGGAGGCTTCGCTTTCTGTGATTGAAAATCAAGAATTCATGGCCATGAGGGCTGCTCAGAAGATCTAACCAGCTCCGACTACGACTGAGGATCAGTTGCGCGAGCTTGTCAGTGATGGTTTGATCTAGGGCAAGGAGTTTGCTGATTGAAAGCTCTAGGCCAGCATCGGGTCCCAACTCCAGGTTCTGATGAGATTGTTCTTTTTGTCTCTTTTATCTGTGCTGGACTCTGTCTTCCTGCTTCTGCTTTTCCTCATCGATTTCTCAGTTATTTTGGGATTTGCTTGAACCATCTTGCTCCCAATGCTGTCCTTCATCTTTCTGTTTTTGTTCATTTTTGTGAAACTTTTTTTTGGAATTCCTCCTTCTCTTTCTCTCTTTCGTTACTTCTTCCGTCTGAAGCCACAACCCCACCGCGATGACACCAATGTTCTTGGTGGCTGCGGTATTCAGTTTCATCAGGGTCTTAAGAGTAAATTTTTTTATTATGACTTGGTTGATTCTATGAGGGATTGGCGTGCCGACTGATTTTATGCCGCCAATTTGATTCCTCCTCTTGCTGTTCATTCTGGTTCTGGTCTCGTGGTTAATGATCGATGGGAAAAGAATCCCCTGACGACGGATGAGCTCTAGGCAATCAAGCCGTTTCTTGAGAGGATATGTACTCTGAAACAGCAGGGCTTGACCGGCTTTGGGATTGTTTTCAGTTTTCTTCGCCGTCGTGTTCAACCACTGAAGGAGCGAGAAAATTATGGTTTTGAGTACTCTCGGGTGGAGGATCCTTCTCGTATGGTACCTGCCCTTGAGTTGACTGATGAGGAGATGCTCGAGCGCCTTCAGAAGATGTTGAAAGGAGTAAGCGTCATTCCGCATGCTGTCCTTGAGTATTGTGCTAACAACCCGCCTCCTGCTGTAAGCTGTTTTTTTCTTATGCGGGTACTTTTTGTATTTCCTTTGCTGTCTCAACTTTTTGCTTAATCTTTCTTGTCTGGTTGTTTTACTCTTTTATAGAAATTGGGGCGTAACTTCGTTGATCCGATCCCCCTTGATGACTGCCATGCCATTACAGAGACTAGGGAGAGTCTTGCTGGGGCATCTTTAACCAGTAAGTTTTAAACCACCACGATGTTTCCTGGTGTTTCCTCCGTAGTTCTTGACGTATATGTAGAGTATGTTCCTCTCCAGTTCCTCGAGCTCCTCGTAGTGTTGGAAACAGGGGGTGAGCGGATTGTTCTTCTTCTGGTTTGTCTGCCACCAAGAAGTCTCGCCAGTCGAGTGCTCGTCCAGGTACTCAAGTTATAGGTACCGTGCTCCTAGGTGAGCATATTAATACGCTTTATCTTCTTGTTGTTTGTTTGTGCCTTTAATCGAGTACTTTCCTCCTTTTTCAGATGGCGCTGTGGTTGCCATGTTGGAGAATGAGGAAGTTGAGGATGATGATGTGGCTCTTGTCACGCGTCGGTGAGTTGTTTTCTTGTTTTTCTGTTGTTGAACACCTCGTTTTGTTCTTACTTTTGGCCTTGTTCTCTTGTAGCAAGCGGTCGTCGAGCTTGAGTTCTTCTGGGGCTCCGGTATCGACCACGCCACTCTTGTCGCAGAGTGGTGGTGATATTTTTGCTGCTATAGTTCCCCCTCTGAGATCTTCTGTTCATCTTGGAGATTTTATGAAGAAGAAGATAGCTAAGTGAGTAAATCCTAGTTATGTTTCTTTGCTTCTATTTTCCTTTTTTCTGATTCATATTCTTATCGTCGAGTTTCCTTATCATCTTGCAGACCCTCGCCT